TTGTCTTACTGAAAGTGTTGTACAGTGCAAAAAGGAAAATGCATAGACAAACAGAAAACCTCGTACACCATTTGTTCAAAAGTTTTTAAATTTAAACTTAAATTAATCCGTGTTTAGTAAACAACAACATTGGTACATTTAATGTTAAATATCCTTTAATTTTCAAAACTATACTGAAAAACAATGACAGCATCCATCCTCATCATAAAATTACTTAACAGCTAATACATGGAGGTGGAGCATTTTTCTTTTTTCTTTAAATATGCATGTATTAAAGTGACTTTAAAGTGTTTTCTTCAAACAGGACACCTGAAAAACACAAAACTGTAACAATATTTGCACATTTAAGATTATCCAGAGTACATTTAAGCTGCAATCATTGCCTTTTGATTGTTGTGCCTCAGTCAAATGCTTAAGATGTGGCTTTCATTCTGGTCTGTTCACCCATGATACAATATCCTTTAATATCCAAATATCCTGTATATGCATACAGTCAGTTTTACTTCATTGATGAATCTGAGTGAACATTTGTCATAAATTAACACTGTAGGGTCTTTACCTTACAATATAAAGTGACTTGAGACCAGACTCTCAGTGGTGCTAAAACTGAACAGCCCTAAAGGTGTTCCTGAAAGTTGGGTTTACTAGAACAAAACAGGTGGATGACCACAGACCTCTCAGCACAAGGATGACAGAACTTTTCCCCCATATAATAAATAAAAAAAACACAGAACACAACATTGAAATAGAAATAGATTAAGACAGATTACGATACCAAACGATACCAGATAAAAGTGCATTTACTGGATCTGTTCATCTCCTCTTGCTTTTCAAAGACAATGAATGAAGATGATGACAATGGGATGTACCTGCCACTGCAGGACAAGAGCCTGTGGTAGCTGTAGGACAGGGTGGTACAGAGGAGGAGCTAAACGTGCATGTACGAGACGCTCTGCTTCACTTCTTGTGCTCCAGTTAATGATATTATTCTCACCCCTTGTCATGTGCTTACAGGAATACTGCTGTTAGATGCCAAATGAAATAGAAATGATAAAGTTTGTTTACTTTTGCGGTTATTCTGTGTTTTCATGTGGGCTGTTACATTTTTCACATCACTGAAATGCTAACAGTTGTCCGGCTGTGGGATAAATCTCCTGTAGTGTAAATCACTTTACAGAATTATGGACACACCACATTTTTGTGTGGTGACATCACACGACAAAGACACAGCGTTTATTACTGGGCAACAAAAGTTTGGTGAAAAATGTCATTTAGTAATGACTGCTTAAATACAACAAACCGTGATGCACACACATTATAGGCTTGAAATACTTACAAATATGTACAAATTAGTGATTATTATTATTTGCAACAGCTAAGTTTTTGGTAAGACTCTCCTGGAACAGAGGGGTACAAACCTATATAAAGTATAAATTTGTTTTTTTAATCTCCAATGTGGAAAGTTTAGGGGTGAGGTGAAACTTGAGTGGCCATCCATTGCTCGTGTGAGGCTGCAAAGCACACTGAGGAATGCCTGGTTGAAGACTGTGGCCTGTGCCATTTCCTCCCTTCGCAGGGCAACTTCCTGCTCCCGTGCCTCATTGAGCGGCAGCTGGATGTGGTGTTCCCACTGATCTTGGTTTAACACATCTCCATCTGCCTGCATCTCCATGGGAACACTTGTGAGGTCAGGTTTGGACTTCTTTCTCTATAGTATGAAACCTATCATCGTGTCCTACCAGCGATGAGCAGTTTCTGTGTCATGCCAAAAGGTGTAGCTGTCGACGCCGTCAACCAGAACTGAATCACAGACAAGGGAGGTCAAGACTAATGGTGGTGGACGAAAAACCCTCACATGTAGAAAGCATTTCTGAAACATAAGACATGCATAGCATAAGGACACACACGACATGACATTACAACATAAATGAAAAAATGAACCCGTATTAATACTAGTAGTGTTCATCAGATGTTGCTCATATGGCTTTACAATGACCCCTCAGAAGAGGAAGTTAATGCACAGCTAGCACAAAACAACATGCAGAGCATGGAGTTTTTATTGCAGCAAGTAGACAATGGCGTTATTAAAAAATGTCCAGGCTTGTTCAAAGTGAACTCAACACGCGACAAGTACTATTATGTTTGAACACACGAAGCACTCACCGTCCTTCACCATAGTTTCTAAAAATGCCGTGTCCAAGTCGGGGCCACTCTGCCTCCTGATGCTCGCCAGTCAGTGCCCGTAGATTGTGTCCATTTGACTATACCACTTCCAATCTATTCGATTTGCCCCACTTCAGCCGTTGTGGTACCCAACTGGTGGCATGCAGTCTGATGACTTCACATTTTAATACCTGCTTGGAACTGCGCCAGAGTAAAATAATAGTATGACCTAATAGAAAACCCTGAAAGCCGTGGCAAACCATGCCGAGTCGATCCAAGTAGGTACTAATGGTACCAAGTAGGGGCTGAAGAGGAAGAGACAGAGCCCTTACTCAGATGGTGAGTGCAGGGAAAGTGAAAGAAAATGTGTTTCTAGCATTCAAAACAGCAGCGCTTTCCTTTAATCACTATTAAAATAATTACTGGGACTGGCCATTGGGCATACCATGGGCCATCTGATCTCAGGAATTCGCATGATTAAGGTGGGTCCAGGTTTCACAATGAGCTCACCCAAAACTCTGGCTGATTGGGACCCACACCCAGTTTCACACCTTGGCTCAGGCGATTAGAGGATCATCAGGGGTCCTTTTGTCCCTCTTTGGGGGGAAACTCCCACTAGGTTTATATCTGGGACTCTCCACCATTTGACCTTAGAACTGAAGAAGCTTCTCGGATGAGAGGTGAAATGTCTTCAAGCAACTTACAGAAGTCCAAACGTTTTTCTTTACAAGCTCCTTTGACTTTGTTGTGCTGACTTTTTACAGTCACTTACAATAACTCGTACTGCGTGCTAGCTAGCATGACGGAGTTTCTATACAGCTGGGTGGTGCTATGATGTTACTGATAGTGAACTTTATTTAATTCACAAGGTTAGTTAGTAGAGTTTCCAACCGTCCTGTAAAAAGACGGAATCGTCTCGTATTCAGAGAAAATATTACGCGTTTCTTATTGAGGTGAAAAGGAACAGTTTGTCCCGGACTTTAGCTACAATGAAAAAGACACAAAGCTGGAGTTATTCTGTGTCTTTGCTGCACAGCTGCCTCTTCTCCTCTCATTCTCCCCCCTCCCTCTCCTGTTGCTACTTCAATCATGAAACTGATCAGTGATCAGCTGATCGTCTCTCTTGTTTATTTATCGCCCACTTTGCGCCAGAAAGAGGAAACCAGCGGATGTCGCGCTAAACAACAGCAGCACTTTTAAGCTTGATCAGCTGTTGTTAGAATTTATTTAATATTAATTTCTAGTATCAGCTGATGTTTGCTGGAGCCACAGCTGTAAAGCTGCTGGTCATGATGTCAGTTTGGATATGTGGTGAGAGGGAAACATGAAGATGAAACCAGGAGATGTCCTTACTGAACCATCAGAGCTGAACAGGTGATGGAGAAACAGGTTTACCTTTTAGGTGACATGGATGAGTTAAAGTTATGAACTGTTTCTGAGAGACAAATAACACCAGGATCCTTTTCTAAGCAGCTGACAGCTGGTAACTGTGCAGGGGCGGGTCTAGCAAAGTGTTGCCAGAGCTCATGTATTGGTCCAACATGTCTTTCTCAGTAACAGACTTTCAGTAGATATAATTTCTGAGAAAGGCCCAGAGCTCTTTGGAAAGCTTTCTATGGGGCACTACGAGCAAAGATTAATATAAACTCTTTCCATTTCCATTTCACCACAATCCAGTGATTAAATGGAAAGGTAGTCCTATGTTGTATCCTCCTTCCATGAATAGAATACACTCATATGAACTTTTCAGCTACCTTTTGCGGTTTCTCTCAGATATAAAACTCCATTGTTTCTCTCTCAAGAAAGAAGCAGCTGTCTCCTCAGTCAAACAACATTGTAACACGAAAGCTACTGTGTGTGTCCAACATACACAGTCTGACACAGCAGTTTCAGTTTACACAGGTTTTTTATTTTGCTTTGCACACTTCACTTCCCAGCTTCAAAGACGTGGCCCTCGGCTTTATGGCAAAGTTGCTCTAACTATGGCTGTCACCAGAACACTGCCACTTCTTGGCTGTCAATCACAGCTTCTTGCATCCCCACATCCCCAATCATTCCCATGCCTTTCAGACTAGTACTGAGGTGCTAGTCTGAATTCCCTAAAGAACCAGTAATTCATGCAGCTCCTTTAATGTGCAAGTATTGAATAAGGTGTTCTGGTCAATATCTTTTACGCATGCTAACTCGGGAGATGATCTGAAACAGTGCCTGTGCCAGACTTCCTGCAAAATTGCTGCACAGGGGTACCACCAACAAATAATATCAGACCTCATGTGGCTGACCGTTAGGTTAAAATAAGCTGCCTGTGAGATGCCTTTTCAGCACAAATGACTCAGTTTCTCTCTCCAGTGTGTCATACTAGCCTGTGCCTAATTATCACAAAGGACTGTTCTGCCTCAGCACACACCATGTGACCCTTAATGTTTATTTCTTAAACCAACGTTGAGTGTAGAGTGTCACCAAAGGACTGCTCCAATGGAAAATATTCCTTGGATTTAATCACAGGAAGTGGCAGGGTCTCCTGAAAATGCCCTGTGGATTTCTCCTCCCTGGTAGCAGTGTTGGACAGCCTCAGCACAGATACCACAAGTCGTTCCCAGTCATAAGCGCTGCCCCACCAGCTTATTAAACTCAGCCCAATCCATCCCAAGAAATAAGGGGTGACCAAGAAAGGAGCTAACCACTGCCCCAACTCTATACATTTTAACCTAACACCACTGGATATTTGTGAAAGTCACTATGTACACACCTAATTCCCACCCAACAACAACCCAGGCTGAAGCAGGGTTTGGTAGAGTCCACCATAGCCTATTGTGTACCACACCCTGGCACCTCACCAGAACTTTGTACGTCCTTCCAGTCTGGGCCGGCCACAAGGATCCCACCTCTATGAGCTGACACTCCCTGCAGAAGAGTTCGGGCTGCGTGCACTTCCAGCTCTCCTGCGCTGATGTTTGCACAAATTCACGTGAGTCAGGAGCAACACCTGTTCCCACTGAGATCTGAGGAGAAAAACAGTGGGGAGAGTGTTAGTGTGAGGCATCTATGCCAGATTGTGGGGGTCGGATGTTTCTTCCTCTGTGCCAGGCCACCATGCTGCTAAGTGGTCCTCTGGAAAGGTCATGGCCCTCTCCAACACACCAAATCCACTCCAGTCACCAGGAGCCTCATCATCTGCTCAAGGACCACTAGCTCCAGTATAGGCAATGACTCAAAAACCTCGTTCCCTGTCTCCAGATGACAGTTACAGAAGCAGCAGCAGTGGTTCTGCAGTGGTTCTGTGGGTCATCCACCTCGCCCATCCTGTGAGATGTGGTGGACATGGTTGGAGAGAGCGGTGGCGGGTGAGCTAAGTATCAGGGTCTACTTTACAATATAAAGTGCCTTGAGGCAACTGCAGTTGAGATTTGGTGCTGTATAAATAAAATTGAACTGAATTTTCAAAGCTCTCCAGAGATGGTTAATTGGGATAAAGTCTTGGCTCTGGCTGGACCTGTCAAAGACATTCACAGAGTGGTCCCAAAGCTATTCCGTTGTTATTTTGGCTCTGAGGTTATGGTTATTGTTTTATTAGACAATGAATAATGTATGTCTTGCCATGCATATTCATCTTTATTTATAGTACCTTATCACCCTATTAGAGTACTTAGCTCTCACACTGCAGGCTTACTTAGAATAGAATAGAATAGAATAGAATAGAATAGAATAGAATAATCCTTTAATTGTCCCACAAGGGGAAATTTGGTTGTATCAGCAGCAAAAAAGAAAAAAAAAAACAAAAACAAAAAAACCCCACACATAAAACAGAACAGAAACACAATTTTTACATATTTACATCATGGACAATAGTTACCAAAGCAGAGTACTGTACAGTTATTAAAATTAGAATACAGATAAGCGGCAAATCCAGATTGCATTGTGCGAGGGAGCTTGTTGTTCCTAGAGTATTTAAAAGTAGAATGGGAGGCAGAGCCTTCAGTTTTCAGGCCCCTCTTCTGTGGAACCAGCTTCCAGTTTGGATTCAGGAGACAGACACTATCTCTACTTTCAAGATTAGGCTTAAAACTTTCCTTTTTGCTAAAGCATATAGTTAGGGCTGGACCAGGTGACCCTGAATCCTCCCTTAGTTATGCTGCAATAGACGTAGGCTGCCGGGGGATTCCCATGATGCATTGAGTTTTTCCTTTCCAGTCACCTTTCTCACTCACTATGTGTTAACAGACCTCTCTGCATTGAATCATATCTGTTATTAACCTCTGTCTCTCTTCCACAGCATGTCTTTATCCTGTCGTCCTTCTCTCACCCCAACCAATCACAGCAGTTGGCCCCGCCCCTCCCTGAGCCTGGTTCTGCTGGAGGTTTCTTCCTGTTAAAAGGGAGTTTTTCCTTCCCACTGTTGCCAAAGTGCTTGTTCATAGGGGGTCATATGATTGTTGGGTTTTTCTCTGTATCTATGAAGCGCCTTGAGGCGTCTTTTGTTGTGATTTGGCGCTATATAAATAAAATTGAATTGAATTGATTGTTTTCTGGAATCACCTTGAAGCAGTTAAAAGTCTTTTTCCATGGCCCCACTGAACTCATCCCACATCAAAGTTTTTTTTGAGCCACTGTCCGAGTTGCATTCCGCTTGGCCTCCCATGTACCTCTAACTCTAACTCCAAAATCCTATAGGCCCAATCCTATACCCAATGAGGGTTTCTACAGACAAAAACATAGATGTGCCATGGGCTTCCCAATGTGAAAGTGGAAACTAAAGCTCTTGGCTCTTTCAAAGAGAGAACCTATTCACTGGTACAGATATGTTAATAACACCTGGGCCAAATCAAAACCAAAGAAATATAAGCTTTCACTGTTCACATCAACTCAGTGGATAGAAACAAAGTTCACCAGGGAAAATACAAAGGATAATAGTTTGCCGTTTCTGGACTGTGCTGTGCACATTGAGGAAAATGGAAACCTCAACAGTGAAGTTTACTGGAAGCCCACATACACAGACCAATACCATCTCTTTGCTTCCAACCACCCTCTGGAACGTGGAGTAATCAGGAATCTGCAACACTGGGTAGAAATGTTCCTTCTAATCCAGAAGGGAAGGAAAAGGAACAAACACATAAAGAAAGCTCTTAAAGCATGTTTATCCCAATTAGGCTTCCATCAAATTAGCAAAGATGCACAGTAAAGAAGCTGAGACACCAATTAAGTAGAAACAGAATGGCAAACGAAACAACACTGTCATCCCTTATGGGGCAAGTTTTTTCAGAGAAACTCGGGCAAATATTCTCCAAGCATGACATCCCAGTGCACTCCAAGCCTAGCTACACACTGGTTTATCCCAAAACTCCAAAAAACAAACTAAACAACGTAGTAGAAGAGCCACCTCGACGGGACAAGACTCAGATGCACAAGGTCACTCTTTTGAGGACACCATTGTTCTCATTTTAGATAGCATGAAAGAAGAGTGACAGAAGCCTACTTCTGTCTACTGTGAACGATCATTCTTGAATAGAAGGGGCGGTTTATGACACCAACTGTCTGCCACCTACAATCTAGTTTTGAGATCTTTCCCCAGGCGCCTGAACGCCCACTCACAGCTTGTGTCAGTTGATCTCAATAGATCACATGATAGAGAGAGGCAAGTCTCACAATGGCTTCACCGGAAAGCTTTGCTGATAATGACAACAACCTTTTTCACACCTTGTATGTCAAGGGCCGTCTTAAGGGACAAATCCCATTGCTGCTCCCACTAAATATCTGGGAATCTCCAGTATTTGGTTATTGTTATTTATATTGTCCTCTGTGTCCACGCTTCGTGTTATTGTTTGTTCTAGTACAGTGTGATCACTGTTTTTGTCCTTGCCACATGACTAAATAGTGTCTCTGTATGTTTTTACTAACTTGTGTGTAACACCAACCTGCCAGAGTGTCTGCAGGTGGAAATTAGTCCAAGACTATAATCTGGGATATTTACATTTGTTAAAATGTTCATTAGCATGTATTGCCCCTCTTTCTAAATAAAATAAAGTAAATAAATTGAACAGAAGAAGCTTCTCGGATGAGAGGTGAAACATCTTCAAGTAACTTGAAGTCCAGTTGCCTTTCTTTTCAAGGTCCTAGGATCATTGAGGTGTTGGTTTTTGTTTATCTCTAAATTTTGTTTTTCAGTTGACTTTTAGCTAATACAAAATCAAATACTGTGGAAACTAAGTCTGGCTTTTTACCAGGGAAAACATATCATTAGCTTCTGAAACAATGTCAAGGGCTAACAATATAAACTGAATCTAAAACACACATTGATTTTATGTGTGATTTTCAGCACCAGGAGTGCTGGTGGAGAATGTAGGGAAGACAAGAATCAAAGATGGCGGGTATAATTAACAATGAGTAGAAAGAAAAAGGAGAGTAAACAACCAGAGCAGTGAGAAGTAAGAGCATGAGGAGATAACAAGAGGGATAAGAGTGAACATGTGATTGTAAAAGGGAAAGACAAGCTTTCTAGTTTTCCTCCATGTCAGTCAAAGAACCACACACACACAGAGACCGAGTGACAGAGAGAGAAGCTTAGTATTTGACATGATCACCATAAATGGGTGACAACGTCGCACTTAACAGTATATCTCTATCTCTCATTTCCTTTCCCTTCACTCGGCATCTACAAACACCTAATCATGCTGCCTGCTCTATCATTTCTCTCATTATCACTTTCTCTCTTCTTCCTCAGACTTTGTCTATATAGACCACTTCCTCATGCCCTGTCTCACCCTCTCAAACTGTTTGTACACCTTTTACTTGGTTTAGATCAGGGTTGGCTTACGCTCACACCATAAATGAACTGCTCTGGAGATCATTTGGAACCATGCCATGACCACCTCCTCCAGAAGGTCTATGTGCAGATGTGAAAACAATAATCACACATGGATGGTGACCAAAACAAACACAACAATGGGTAAAACAAAACAAAGTATGATTTAAACAGACCAAACATGGCAGGTGTCAAAATACTCTCAAACTTAATCTGAACAAGGCTGAAACTCCATGATAATATACCCCCACCAACCTCCCAAAAAGTACCAATTTCTTTTAATTTAAAGACGCAAAGAAGTAAAATGTTCAGTTTGAATGCTTATAAAAAATCCAAACACATATGGCTTTTAAAAAATAAAGACCAATTCCAAAAATGTATTATTCGTAGATTAAACTACTGTACTTGGGGATCTTATTGTTTCATCCTACATAGTGGTTATGACACTCAGTAGTCCTCTGCTTCCTCCTTCCAGTTACCATACAGTCCGAGGCTGCTGGACTTGGGGTGAAACCCTCCATGCATGGTAAGGAGCTTTCTTGTCTTCGTGTCAGTGGCTTCCATCCTGTCACGGCCGAGGCTGACTAAAAAAAAACAAACTGAAATGCATGACGCAGAGAACGTTTAAGTGACAACGTTTATGATTCACAAAAAGTGTAAGCGAACAAAACTAGAAAACTGAGTCGTGTCTTTAACTTGTGCTAAGAACAAACACCAAAACTAAGGGGCGCTTATGCGACCTGAGCTATGTAAACAATCAGTGATTTTTCAACTGTGGAAACTGCAGTTCTGTGGTTTGGGCCAAAGGGAGAGTCAGACTGGATGGCTGGGTCCTGGGAAGGGGTCAGAGTCACTGAAACTAGAGTACATTTATTTAGGTATGGTTCCGGAGGAATACTGGCAGCTATTTGTTCTGAATAGTCCTTTGCACTGCCTACTTGCCGCGGGTGGATCAGTAGCATGCAGGGGAGAGTGGTCCAGGTGAGTGGTAAGTAATCCGAAATTCCTGACATTGAGGCAGGGAGGCAGGCAGGTGCGTGGAGTGAGTAAAACTGTGAGACTGTCGGGAGGTCCAGCGTCCGGATGGGGGTTCTATGGCAGAGATTTGCTTCTGGTAATCTGGTGTGTAGCTATGAAAGAGAGATACAAGGTGAGACAAGGTAGTTTGCTAAGATGTGTACAAAACACAGAGCTGGCCTGCAG